TGATTTTTATAGTTCAAGGAGCAAATGAAAAGGTAAATTGGACGATCAGACCTACGTGAGAAGAAGAACAAAGTTGTCGTAACAGATCTAGCCCATAAAACCTGTCTCAATGAAAATTTAATAAGAGTTTCATTGTATTAAATAAACTAATATGGCATAGTTTAAATAAAGAGATTTATGAAAATAGTTTGATAGGATGAAATGAGTTTCAGAAAAATAAAATTTATTTACATTATTTCCAATATCACGAAATCTTAAAAACAGAGCCGTGAAATCCGACTGAGAGACCAAAGTATGAAACCCGGGCCGATCCGGGTCGCGCTCGCTGCGCGTCGGCGGTCAAGGTCAACTCCTTGGGGGCGCGGGCGGCCTGTCTTCCCTCTTCCCCGTAGTGCGCGTGGTGTTGTGTGCTGAGTATGAGATGAGATCTGCCACCAGCCCATGGCCCCATGCCTGTTTCCTGTTCCTCCTGAGGAAGAGAAGAGCTCAAGTGTCAACTGCTGGTGCTGAGCATGCAGCCGCCACCGCCCACCCACAGCCTCCAGCTTTAGCTTACCTTTTGCTTTGCACGCGGTGAAGGCATCCCCCATCCCATCTCACTGTCTGCCTTTCTCATCTCAGCCAAGAAAGAGAGAAAAGGGTCCAGGCCAAGAAGATTAGTCTCCTCTCTGCACAACCACGAATCATCCGATCCTCTCAAGACTCAATTCAAGCTAGTCAACCAATATCAGCAGCATCAGCACGGGGATCAGGGAAGGAAGACGAAGGAGGGGATCCGAATCCGATCCGATCGATTGCGGAGCGCCGGAGCTCGGGGTGATTCATGTCAAGATGCTGCAGCGGGCGGCGAGCAACGCCTACTCGTGGTGGTGGGCGAGCCACATCAGGACCACCCAGTCCAAATGGCTCGACGCAAACCTGCAGGGTCAGTTCCGGTTCCGATTCCCACATGTTCTTCATTCATCTCCTGCTCTGAATTATCGCTGTCCTGTCCTCAACTCTCTGATGACCGATCTTGTGTTGTGTGCAGATATGGAGAATCGAGTCAAGATCATGCTTAAACTCCTCGGACAGGAAGCCGATTCCTTTGGCAAGAGGGCCGAGATGTATTACCACACCAGACCAGAGGTGATAAGCCATGTGGAGCAACTCTACAGAGCTTACAGAGCTCTCGTCGAACGCTATGACCACATATCCAAGGAGCTCCATAAGGCCAACCACACCATTGCAACTGCTTGTCCAGAAGAGGTACAGTATGCAATGTTAGAAGAGGAGGATCATGATTTCCCCAAAGCAATCACACCAATTAACTCGCACAAGGTACACAAGTCCACGGTCCAAGAGATTCTCAACGCAAAGAGACAAGGTCCGTCAGGGTGGAACAAGCTACCCTCCGATCCACACATAAGCACCGAGGAGGCACGAGAAGAGATCGGCAGACTTCAGAAAGCTATACTTGTTCTGCAAACCGAGAAAGAGTATGTTAAGAGTTCTTACGAGAGTGGTATTGCTCGGTACTGGGAGATCGAGAAGCTGATTGCAGATACACAAAAGGAAATCTGTGTTATTCAGGACAAATTTGATGCACATGCAGCCATCGGTGATGATGAAGCCCGTGTCTTGATGACAATAACAGCTCTTAGATCTTGTCAGGGAACCATTTCTAAGCTTGTACGTCATTTTGAGGAGTTGATCAGGCTTGCAGCCGTGGAGTTGGAAAAAACAAGGTCTCTCCGAGCACAGCTGTATGCTATGGATGGCAACACCGACACATCCTCAAGAGAGGCAAGCAGCACAGGCACGTCAGTGAATGCAAGGTCTTACCTGGTTACCCAGACAATACTTGAGTTGCAGCCCATATATGAGAAACTTGACAAGTTTTTTGCCAGTGGTTCTGAATCCTCTGCGGAGGAGATTGCAGAGAATGTTGATGAACTTGTTGATAAAGTCATCAACTTGGAGCTCAAGTTCCCAAAACAGACAGCACAAATCAATCAACTCATACAAGAGAATGAGAACCTAAAGAATAAACTGGATGAGTTACAAGACGAGATGGCACTTCGTGATGACCAAAGTGACTTAAATGAACAGATCAAGCAATTAGAGGATGAGTTTAGCACAGTCCGAGTTCTTGAAAGATCAATAATTGAGGAAGAAGCCTCTGTTAGCATAGGCTTTTCTGAAGTTTTTAGCTGCATAATTAATATCTCAAAGGCACTTGGATCTGTTGGTCCTGAAGACCTGCATAATTTGTCAACTGCGGTAGGGGATGGTGCAACGGTTTTAAAAGATGTGGTCCTGGAGCAGTCTACAGAAGAGAGCAAGGGTGCGGAGTTTAGAGACATAGATGCACCAACTCTAAGTCATAGTTTGGGCCAAGATAGAGAAGATGTCTCAGAAGTGGTTAATGATAATGGTAACGATGACATCCATGGCTCGAGGAATGCTAATGAGGAAAAAATCCCTGGGAGTTGCTTGATGCAGCAAGTTAGATACAAATCGTCTATACATTCTGAGAACCATATCAATCCGTTTGTCAGTTCAGAAAATGAAAACAGAGTTCATGATTCAGGTGAGGGCAATGTTGATAGCTCACCAGGAGAAGTATTCCAGAGTTCATCAGAAAATGAGAATGGAAGTAGAAACTTCCCTAAAGGCGAAATTGTGAGAGGTGAATATCCATTGGGAATTGTCAGACAGACTCATCTCCTCCACTCAGGTAGTATGGATACTTTAGACAAGAAATATGGCTCTAATAAAGCTTCTCAGTCATTAATGGAGGTTGCTGAGGGAAATATTGGTGATGGAAGTTCTTTTACCAGCAGTAGTGTAATCCAGGAGGAAGGACTTGGAGATAGTAAATCACAAAACACCAGTGGGCAGATTAGTCCAATTGCTTCCTCAGAGTTGTACAGTTTAAAGGAAAAAGATTCCCTAGAAGAATCCTCATTGCCAGAAGTTATGTGTTTCAGTGGTGCCGATAAGAGCCTGCACTTGGGGCATGCAAATGAAGCACAATCTGTTGAAGAATTGCCAGACCAAGGTGGTCAACTAAATGGGCCACAAAATATTGAAAGTTTGAACGAATGCAGCCAAGTTGGATTGCTTAAAGAGGATGACTGCATTTCATTAGGTCATGTTGATAATATCCAAGATATGAAGAACAGGTATTCCTCAGAAGTGAGGGATGAAACTTCTCTCTGTGTGCCAGCTGGAGATTCTGAGCAAGTTCTGACAAACTTAGAGAAGAGTTCACATGGCAAAGAGCTTGCAAGCGAAGCAACTACCTCGAACAACCATGGAGGAAGGAGTCAGGGTGAAAAGTCTGGTTTGATGGGAGAGGAATTTGTACCTAGCTGGCAAGAATTTCTTCTTGATGGGCTTGAAGGTAGAGAAGCAATCCTACTAGCTGACTATACTTCAGTTCTGCAGAACTACAAAGAAACAAAGAGAAGGCTTACCGAACTGGAAAAGAAAAATCAGGAGCATCTTGAAGAGACAAAAGCAGTTATACGGGAGTTAAGGAATGCAAATTCCATGAAGTATGTTGAGATTCGGTCACTAAGAGATCTCCTGGATTCCTCGAAGATGCCTCCCAGTAAAGTGGGTAGTAACTCAAACGGTTTCTTAAGTGTGAGATCTTCTAGAGAAGTTGACAGGTCAAATGGCACTTTGGGTAGAGATATTTCAACTGTGGAGGAAAGCAGTTCTAGCAACATCGATGCACCTAACAACACGTCACTTTTTGAAGTGAGGTTCAGAAATGACATTGACGCTTTGGTGGAGGAAAATTTGCAGTTCCTGGTAAGGTATAGCACGGCTTGCCATCACATGGAGGAGTTTGACAGAAGATACCGGGAGGCACAGAATGAAATGGAGAACATGGACGATAATAAGACTGGAGAACCTGATACTCGAGCAGAGCCCGAACCAGCTGAAAAGAAGTTGAGAGAGCTCCGAACTGAACTGGATGTATGGTTTGAGCAGAACGCGCTTCTCGATCAAGAAGTGCAGCTTAAGTCTGCATCTCTTTGCAGACTGCAAGAGGAGATAGCCGAAGCCCTGCGTGGTAGCTTGGAGATGGACAGAGCCAAGTTGTTTACACCATATGAAGCTGCCAAGTTTCAAGGGGAGGTCCTAAACATGCAGCAATCTAACAGCAAGATTGAGAACGAGCTGCAGGCAGCATCAGAACGAATGAGGGGGCTTCAAGCCAAGGTTAACCACGCCCTAGAGAAGCTACGTGAGAGTTTTGAGTTTTCATCCCAACACCTGTCGCAGCCAGAGACTGAAAGTAGCTATGGGAAACAGTTCAAGCATTTTCCAAGTAGGACAAGGGTACCGTTGCGGAACTTCCTGTTTGGAACAAAGCGAAAGAAGAAATCAATATTTGCATGCATCAATCCCACACTCCAGAAACAGTTCAGCGATTTGTGAGGTGTGTGAGTGTGCTCTTTTTGCATCTCGAGTTCCAGAAACGTATTCATTTCAGTAGCTGACATGATTCAATTGTTTGCACTTGTAGTGAAAAAAGATGTTGAAGGATGCATGTGGTAGCAGCTAGAATTTGGCTCATCTCCAATCAACAGATATGAGAGCTTATCGGGTGGGATAGCATGACCATAGTTTTCCTTGTTTTGAAAAACTTATCGTTACACCATTGCTCACCGGGCAAAAAATGAACAATAGTTGTATATATCACCGTTGATCTCCTTGTACCTGGGGGTAGTTTTGTTTCCCAGGGTACAATTAAGAGCAGGTTTTGTTTGACTTTAGCTTGTGTTTGTTTGGAATGGTAATTTGTTCATTTCATTTGATTGAGAATTTCAGAGAAATAAACAAGGCAAATTATTTGGAGAGTACTAGACGAGTACAGTGTGAACAACATTATAGCAAACACACATCTTATTCAGTTGAGACTTATTCCAACTCATACAACATGAAACGCCTGATATGAAGATGTTGAGAAGCTCCCCTCCCCTGGGGATGATCAGATCAGATCAGGCTACCGGGCTTTGTATCTGCAAATACAAAGATGGGTCAGTACCGGCCCGTTACTACTTATATATATATATATATATATATATATATATATATAAAGAGCACCGATGTTACCCCGAACTTGTTCATCAAGGCAGCAAGCTGCAGACGGCGATCCCCCCAGGTCGCTGCGTAGGCATCTATCTTGTTCAGCTCCTGCAGTTACGTTATTGCACAGGATGTAATGTAATTGTGCGGAGTTAACAGAAGAAATTATATATAGATGATGGTTGAATTTGATTGGTGCATGCAGTGGCAGTGACGCACACCTCTATCCACTCCTTGAGTTTAGGCCTTGCTTGTGTCATGTCGTAGTGCTTCACTGCAGCGAAGAAATCCTTGAAGCGTTCCACAAAGGGCGCATAAACCATGTCGACCTGCATATATAGATGCAATTCGGCTATTGTCAGCAAAACTAATTAAAAAACGATGGACTAATAAGTGATTGATGAGTTTACTGACTGCGCTCATGGACTTCCCCAGGAGGAATGGCCCATCAGAGAAACGTCCCAGGGACGACTCCACCTTGTCAAGAGCAGGAGCAAGCAGCTCACTGATATCATCATCTCCTTGTCCTTGGGCTTGGGCACGGCCTGCCCTGAACAAGGCTATGATGACCGAATCGCTGCTGGCAATCAACTCATCAGCAAAAGCTTGCTTTGCAGGGTCCTGATCACGAGGAAACAGCTTGGGGCCCTCAAAGTTGGCGTCCAGGTAGCTGAGTAGATCCAAGGACTCTGCTATGATGTTGCCATTGTGCTCCAGGACGGGGACCTGCACTGCATCACAGCATATTGATTAGTAATTGTTGATGATGAAAAAGAAAAGGAAAACAATTGTGATGTGTTCCTCAAAGGAAATGGTTGTTGACCTTGCCCGGTGGGTAAACTTTCTCGAGGAACCTTCAATTCATCATCATATTCAGATGGATTAAGTGAAAGGCAGGTTAGTCGGTTGGATTGAATTTGGAACTGATATTATATATATGAACATATATACAGCCTTGGTAGTACTCCGTATGTAAGATTTGATAGAGTAGCATGCAATACGATCCTAGTCCTAGCTAGCTACTGAGTAATACAAGGGCGCTGCTACTCCTAGTAGTAGTTATATTACCAAGCAGGCTTGTCTTGCAAATCAATGGCAACCAGCTGAATCTTGTCTTGTAACCCCTGCCCAATGCAACAACATACCAAGCTTTAATTTTGAGCATAGCAGAGCCGCGGGCCTAAGGAGACGGCACAAATTGGCACCTATAATACTGTACTTACTTTGAAGTTCCTAGCTATCCAAACTCTCTGCACGTATGGGCATATGTAGGAGATGTAGAGCCTTGTTGTGCCATCGAAGAGGTTTGGTGGTTGAGAACCGGAACCCAGGGTTGGGGGCAGCACCTCCTCCGCTTTCGTCTCTCTGCATGCATAACATGCGGATGCTGGATCAGATCCGGCCGTCAGCAGGAAGCAGAGCCATCTCCCTCTCCGGCTCTCCCTCTCATACCTGACGGTGGAGTCATCGGGTGCCGCCGACGTCGCCATATAGCCTGATCGCCGGACGGAAGGCTCCTGCCCCTGAGCAGCTCAGCTGAGGTACCTCTCCTTCCTGCTTGCTTTCAGTGGAACAAACTAGCTAAGAGATGTAGTAGTACCTCCGCATCCGTATCATGTTCCGAAACGGTGTGCCTGCTGACCTATTTCTGAGCAAAACCCACGAGGGATGCAATCAAATACCACCAGACGCACAACCACATCTAAACTTTGGAACTGGCTCTTCATAACCGATCTCATATAATTCTCCCACTGATCCGCACACCCAATTGAGATCATCTTCCTTAGGATGTTGGGAGAGAAACCTAGGTGAACTACACCCTCAAGTGTGATGCCATCATCTCATGGCAATGTAGCTCCTCCCGAGCTATTGCAACCAACTCACTAAATGAATGTTTCTCATTGAATAACACAGGCACGCTTTGCATCTCCACAAATTCAACATATCCATAGCGATCATTTTCCACGGTGCATCCATGATATATACTCACTAGGTTGTCCATCTAGTTTCCTTTAGTTCAATATAAATGAATCATACTAAGTACATGATCTCTAGTACGTAATAACTAACTAAATAGATACTATCAATTCACTACTAACTACTAAGTACTACTAACTAACTATGTCAAGTAACTATGTAACTAACTATGTAACTAACTATATAACTATTTAACTATCTATCTTACAAACTATATAACTATATATCTAACTATGTAAAGTATCCATCAATCAACCTATCAATCTAAATATTTTTCTACTTATCTAAATCACTACCACACTAACTAACTAATAACCACTATTAAATAAGAACAAAATTAAAGAACTAATGTACCTCGAGTGAGGGGAGGCGTGGCCGGTCGACAAGAGGTAGAGACGGCTAGCGGGGAAGCTGTTGTGCGCCCACGTGTGCACCTGGCCGGCAACCGGAGCGGCCAAGCGGGCGGGGGCGGGCGGCCACGGGAGGCCGGCAAACGGCACCCCACTACCGGCTTACGGCCCCCGCTGCCCTTGTCGAGCGGGCAAGGGAGGGCGGCGCAGCAAGGGGCCGCGCGGTCGCGAGACGTCCGGGTTCGACGACGGGGAGGACGACGCAGCAGCTGATCGTGGTGAAGGAGGTGGGCGGCGTGGGCGGCATGGGAGGATGGGCAGGCGGGCACTCCCGGCAGGCGGACGCAAAGATGGGTGAGGCTCGACTCCCAGGCGTCTTGTGAGGATGATGGGCGGGCGGGCGGGGCGGCTGGGCGGGAGCGAGGTGGTGGGCGAGGCTGGCATGGCGCGGTGCTCAAGTGGCGTGGCTACTGGTGTAAGTGGCCATGTGTGTGGATGGTGGGGTCAAGCATCGCTAGACGGCAGCGACGACGAGCGCAGCGCCACGTCGTCAGCAGTGCGTGAGAGAGAACGGGAGAGGAAGAGAGGAGAGGAAGGAAGAGAGAAAGAAAATAGACCCACCTGTAAGGCCGGAACGGCGCTAAAATATTTGGCGCCGGGCTCGGCGCCAAGATCTACGGCGCTAAGCTCGGCTCCAAGGTGCCTGCCAGGTCACAGCCACGTTTTCATCGACGCCTACGTGGCCCCAAAATCTAGGCGCCAAATACACTGGCGCCGAGACGTGTTAGATCGGCGCCAATAACCCTGGCGCCGAGGTGAGGGTCTAGATTTTGAAAGCATACCGGGGACAGCCAAATAGACAGCAGGTTGTACGAACTGTCTGATCAACCGTATTTACAGACAGCAGCTGTCTCTCTACTGTACATGCCGTTGGGGAGGAGGCAATCTACATGTTTCTTGCGGAGAAGGCAATGCTGGCAGTCGACGGTTCTTCTGGGGAGAAAGCACAGAGCACTCAAAGCAGTGCAGCGTCGACTCACAGGCGCGAAAGCCTGTGCAAGTGTGCAGACAATGCAGTCAAACCAACAAAGTTGTAGGGTAATCATGAAAATCTTTAAAAAAAAAAGGGCAAAAAAAATTCGGTGTTTTAAGCAAGAGGCAACTGGTCAGCTGGTCTAGTTTGCTTGCGAGACTAAGACCGAGCTCAGAGCGGCAGCACAGCCAAGCCATGGCGTACCGTCCCCCATCAATGTCTGCTGGTGGCCTTGGTCGCTCTTCTTGATGATTTGAGCGACGACACCTAACTAAAAATTTATGATCATTTGCTGCTTGATGATTTGAGCGACGACCTCGTCTCCATGACGGCGGTCCTGGCTCTCATCACCGCCCAAGTGCCAAGGCTGCCATCAATTGCGAGTCTCTGTCTGCCCGTCTTCTCATCATCTCGCCATGCGCGCATGGCCTGTTCGACGGAATGCCATGGTACACGCACACAGTGTAGAGAAGATGGTGGTGGAGGGGGATTTTGATATTTTGGCAACCGGTGGCCCCCACATGACAGAAAATTCATGGTGCTGCTTGCGCGCCTTATCCTCTCACACCACACCAGCAGCCTGCCCAGCGCCCACAATGCCAATGCCTCCAGCTCAGCTAGTAAAAAATCAGTCACCTGCCACCTGGCGATCAATGAAATGATCTAGCTCGTCAAACAAACCCTCTCCTGGATAGGAGTAGCAGAGGCATCAAGGACAGTGAACCAATCAAACTGTGCTGCCTGCGTTTGTGGCTTCTCTCTGCCTCTCCCCTCTTTCAAGGAGAGGGGCTTCTTGTCACCAATATCCATCTCTGCCTCTCCTTCAACCTTTGTTATCTTGCCCAAGATCCCTCCCTCCCTCCATGAATTCCAGCAGAAGCCTCCTCTCGTCGCCCCTCTTTGCTAGCTCGTCTCCAAATTTCAGGAGCAGTACGTCCGTCTCCTCCTCCCCGTCCCCATCCCGCACCACAGGTATATATATCCTAGCCTATCCTTCTCGTTTCCAATCTGCAGATATTATCGAGTATGTATGTTGAGCTCATTGGCTACGATCTGGCAGCAGTTCCAATGATACATGACAACACCAGCAGAGCATCCACGGCGTGCCACTACTCACCGTCTCTTGTGGCAGAGGAGCAGCTTCACGGTTCCAAAGACACCTTGACCTTGAAGGGCGAAAAGGCTTTGCTTGAGTTGTTGCTAGGCATGGTGTGCCATCACTCTATCTTGTTTCACCTTATACCTACTACTACACTTTCCTGGAGTATATATGCTCCTGATTTCATATTACTCCTGGGTTCTCCCTGCAGGCTCTGGACCAGCACGTCGACGACGGGAAGCTCATGCCTGAGGATACTGATTTCGAGAGCTATTTAAAAGAAGCGACAAGCCGAGTGCTTTACCAGCCAGCATTCACGTACGGCAGCTTCTGTTTCCCTCTTCCAAAATATTTTGTAGTTTCATAGCTACGACTAATCCTTCCATTCCACCATTTTTTGACAGCCGCTGTTATGCGAATCACTCTTGCGATTATTCTGACCTAAATTTATTGGCAGTGAAGAGGATGATTCTACTTCGGAGAGCTCTTCAGCATCAATAGCCAAACCACCTGGGAGTTTGGATCTTGGCATGCTGACAAAGCAGGTGGAATTGCCAGCAGAAGAATCAGGCACTTCAGACACCCAGTTGGATGTACCACAGCCTCACCGGTTTGTTTCTTTCCACTTTCAAACACTCTTATGTGGTCAGATCAGTGTAGAGGAACGCAACAACAAGCAATCACGCTCTTTTATTATTCTAACACTTGACCATTGTGCTGCCACCAGTGTGGATCCAAACCATTCATACGAGGGACTGCTCAACAATGATCAAGTGTTTATTAGATCCACTCGGTTACTTGAGAGGAGATCTAAGAAACGCAACGCCTACAGGGTTTCGAGTAACGACGTTCCGTGCAGTGGTGTGAACCCAAAGAGAAAAGAGAAGTCAAAGAAGTTTGGCAGAGTTCTTGATCCAGATGAGCCTTTCAGGTTGTTTCTACGGGATCGAGAGACAACAGAGTTCTTGACAGCGAAAGAGGAGAAACAGATGTTCAGTCAAATACAGGCACAACTTCTTCTATTATCGCTGTCCTTCCTTAATGCCCAGATGTTCAGTTAAATTAATTACTGATGCAGAATTGTGATTTAATTTTGCACAGAATCTTATGAAGCTAGAGGAGGCTCAGCGTAAACTGCAAGCTCAATGTGGTCGTGAGCCAACAGTTGCAGAGTGGGCTCAAGCCGTAGGAATGAGCTGCAGGGAGTTGCAATCCTGTGTCCGCACTGGAAGACGGTGCCGAGAGAAGATGGCCCGCTCCAACTTTCGCCTTGTGATACATGTCGCTAGGAAATATGAAGGACATGGCCTTGACATTCAGGACCTGGTGCAGGTTTGACGCTTTTAGATTGCTTATTACGAGATTTTCTGGGGGTTACGAGATTTTCTTGGTTTTGAATGTGTGTCAGCTGTAATGCCAGGATGGATGTTGTGGGTTGATGAAAACCTTTGAGAAGTTCAACCCAAGCAAGGGATGCAGATTCCCGACCTATGCCTACTGGTGGATACGTCAATCGATCAAAAAGTCGATCTTCAAGAATTCAAGACTAATCCGATTGCCGGTATTAATTTTCTTCTAGTACTAGTGTTTGTATATATGGAAGTAATAGTACTTGTCAAGGCCGTACCCATGTATGGACATATCACATATCCTTGCTGATCCTGGCGGTTTATTTCTGTTGTGTATCCCTTGCATTGCAGGAGAGTGTGTTTGCACTCCTGAGGAAGGTGGGCAAAGCGAGGATGGACTGCATAATGGACGGGGAGCAGCCGACGAATGAGAACGTCGCAAGGCGTGCCGGCATCACAATTGAGAAGCTTGCGAAACTGAGAGCCAAAACCAGGAAACCACGGTCCATGCAGGATCGGGTTTGGTCAGATGACGGTGTCACATACCAGGTAAGTAACATTGCATGCATTGCATTGCATCCACCGATGGTGATGGATGATCCAAGCACTGCGTCTGCGTTCGTGCAGGAGATCACCGAGGACCCCAACATTGAGGCTCCTGAGGTGAGCGTGGACAGGCTGATGATGCAGCAGCAGGTGCGCAGCTTCCTGGCAGGGATGCTGAGCCCCCGGGAGAAGGAGATCATCGAGCACCGCTTCGGCATCCACGACGGGCAGCCCAAGACCCTTCATGTCATCGGCGACATGTACGGGCTGTCCAAGGAGAGGATCCGCCAGGTGCAGAACAAGGCCCTGGACAAGCTGAAAAACAGCATCTCGGCACAGGGCTTCCACGTCTACTTTGATTTGCTAACTTGAGCAGAGCACAGAAGCTGATGATGAGTCTCTTCAGCATATGCATTGTCTTGTCCATATATATGTACAAATTGATTGAGAACTGAAGGAACCCGCTCTTAGCATCTAGACTTGTATACATCACACATTCCCTTCCCAAACCCAAAGGGCAGAGGCAGCCAATGGAATTGCCGTGTATATCATATGTATAGATAGACGACAAATGCAAGCAGTATACACTTCACTACGGCAGATCCATTGCCGTCTGTTTCTTGATGTAATAAGTATATTTTCCTAGGCAAAATCAACAACAAAAACTGTTGCTACATACTGATACTGATACTGAACTTCCTTTGGGCTAGAGAACCGAGGTACACTTTCTTGATGTAATAAGTAGGAGTACCATGGTACTCCTGCTTGGCATGTTCTTTTGGAGTACAGTACATTGGATTTGCAATTTGGCATTCATTCATTCTTCTAATCAATGGCTAGTCTTGTACTCCTATGACAGTACAAGTACTATCTGGTTGGTTGGCTGCACAAGGCTACAGCCAGCATTATTTATTCATAATATAGGAGTAGTACCAGTTTGGTTGGTCCATTTGGAGCTGAGCAGGCCAGGCATACACTGGCAGGCAATTGTCGGTCTACAACTGCGGGCTTTGCAGTCACAAGGACAAGGCTACTAAAACTAATCAGGGATGTGTATAGTCCCAACAGACTCATGTAGAGACTGACCAGAGATGATAAATAATCACAGAGTAGTAGAATAGCAGCAAATATGACTGAGACTGACCCCATCTAAATATCTTTGACCCTTGTTTGATGACATTGATTTGGATTGGATCTATCTTAGGATGCCTTTTTTTTTTCTTGTGGTGGAGCCTGCAAGTGCAATGGGATTGATCATTGCACACACCTGGTTGGCGGTTGCGGGCCGCTGCTGCCGGGCTGGCTGCCATGGTGCCATGTCCTCCAAAGGAGTAGAAAATTCGAGTGAGCCTGAGCTTAGCTACACGCCTACACCCATTTTTTGTTTTTAATACATCTGTGCGTTTCCAAAATTAGTTACTGAAAATATATTCGTGTAGGTCAGGGACACTCATCTTGACAAACTTCTCTCTCTTCTTCTTTTCTTTTCTGAAAAACTTAACTATGTCCTCTCTCCGTTCTAAATTATAAGTCATTCTGGATTTTCTACGTACATCATTTTTGCTACGTGTCTAGATACATAGTAAAAGTTATGTATCTGAAAAAACCAAAATGATTTATAATTTGGAATAGAGGAAGTATGAGCTAAAAAGGAAAGAAAGAAAATACTCAATACTAACTTGCAGTGCAACGAAAGGAGAAAAAAACAAGGCAAATGTGACTGAAAACGAAAAGAGAAGCACAAGTAAAGGCACTGGGAAGGTGAGCATGTTAGATACTTTGTTGGAGCTAGAGAGGCTACGCAGGAGATAGGAGTGGGAGGTGGAAGGACGAGGCTTGAACCGTCGGCGGACTGGCGGCGCCGTGCTCGGGGCCTAGGCTAGCGCGATGCGTGCAAGCGAGAGCAGAAGGGGTTGGAACGCCGGGGAGCGAGAGAGAGATTACTCTAAATCTCTGGCTATACTGTATTCATCCAAAGTGTTCAATACTTATAACAAAAGCCTAACAACCATGCTGCTAAGTTTAAGGACTAATTAAACAAACATAATTATTTCTCCTAATTCATCGGATCGACTAACAACCGGAGCGAGCCCTGGGCGACGCAGTCGGCGCACCCTCGGCGTGGTGACCGCGCACCAGCTTCCCGCGCGGCTCGCTCCTTCAGCCACTGGTCTTGGCGCGACGACGGTAGACGTTCCCCACCATAACATACTTTCATTGTCACACGAAGATGAAGCTAGCTGAACATATACTTTTCCAACGGAACGGATTAATCGACACTTGACAAGGAAGGAAGAATCCTGATTCCTCTGCCTCGACTCTCTCTGCTTTGCTGTTGCTGTTGCTTTCTCACACCGCTAGCACTGCTCTGCTCACTTGACCAGGATATGCAGCAGGGCAGAGAGATTCAAGGCTCCACTCCCAACCAACACATACTCCACTCTACTACATCTAGCTGAAGGAGCAGTCTGCCTCTGCAAGGCGGGCCCTACCACAACTCACATGCCACAAGTTTTCTGCTGCTTGTGCACACAAGGACACAAAAACATCACAACCCACCCAGTCAACCTCTAAAGCCCTGATTGATATCGTGTAGACTAAACTTTAGACTTCGGTATTCAAATAGATGAACTAGAAGTAAATTAATTTTTGCTTTTTAACCTAACTAATACTTTTTTGAAATGAAAAGACGAAAGCCAACTAACAATTAGTTTATTGTGAACTAATATGAATTAAAAGGTTTGCATAAGTCTTTGTTCAAGAAAGCTACTTGCCGGAAGGATTGTGTAGTTCATCTAAGCATGACTCATCTAAAGTTTAGTTAATATTTAAATATCAGACAATTAAATTTGAAATGGTAAATTTAGTCCAACTAAACTTTAGTTTTGGATGGTCTAAATAGGCTCTGGGTTATATGAAGTCGACCATAGTGTCACACTCGCTTGGTAGACACATACACATGATATGCTCCAAACTTGATGCCTATGGCGGTAGCAATGCAAGTCATTGGCTCTTTGCAGTACCTGACTTGGTAGGTCTTAAAAGTGGCAATGGTAACAAACTTACATTAGTTGAGGGACATTTTTGTTGGCCTATGTGCCTCTGAAATTAACATTTATATAGACCCCCCTCGGTTCTAAAGAAGATACAATTCTAGGTTTTGGATAAGTCAAACTTTTCTAAATTTGACTAAGTTTTTAGAAACAATTATCAACATTTATTTATATTTCATAGTCAGTCTAATGATATCTATTTGGTATCATAAGCATTTGTATTTTTATATGTATTTTAGTCAAACTGAATTATTTTTGACTTGTCGAGAAGTGAGAATTGCAATTTTTTTTAGGATGGAGGAAGTAATACGTAACTCTATATTTGATATTAATATTTTTGTAGATATTTGTTGCTAAAATAACATATTAGAGGCACCGTCCATATTTGATGAATTTATATAGTATTTGCTCTGTTTTATAAATGGATCTAGAGTAAACTTAGAATGAGCCACTTGAAAAGCCGAAAGATCCTAACAATGACTTTGAGAATTTATGGAACTAGATGAGGTGCCAAGGCTAGATGCGTCAACAATGATTTTTTTTCCTTCTGATGGTCTCATAATACTAGAATTGAGTTTTGAGTGGGACATTTGTGTGGTTAAACATTTATTTAAAAGTGGACTGATTCTCTTGCTGACAAGTGATGAAGCCAGACCTATTTTCATTATTTAAACAGATGAGGATGTGGAAAAAATTAATATCCTATAGTATACTTCACTCCCTATTTTCTCGCATACTCTTTGGTCCTTACCGTATACCCCCATCGGTTTCAAAATAGAGATAGGTCAGCAAATTTTTATCTTAAACCGAACTTTATCCGTTTTAAAAATTAAATTTTGGGTTAAAAGTTATTATAGAACAATACATTATTGACACCTAAACTGTCAAGGACCAAAGCTTACTTTAATTGCTGGAAGAATGGTGTACAAATAATCGTGGTCGGGAACACAAGCCAACCCAAAAGAGAGGAGTTTAAAGAAGTTGTGAAAATCAAAAGCGGTCGGAAAAGCAAAAGCGGCGAGGAGAGGAGAGCATAGCAGAGCAAAGCAGTAAAGACAGTCTACAGGTGGGGAGTGAGGAGTGAGGAGTGAGGAGGGAGAGGGAGAGCCAACGGAGGCGCAGTGCAATGGCCGCCATCGGCCATCCACCATCCCATTCCTAGGTAGCTAGCTTGGAGCCAGCAGAGCAGCACCCAGCACCCACCCCAGCAGCAGGGAAGGAGAGAGAAGCAGAGGGAGGTTGAGGGCTCGAGGCCAGCAATGGAGGTCGCCGCGTCCTCCGACCAATACCGCTCCTCCTCTTCCTCCGCCAGCAGCCCCGCGCGCCGCTACTACCTGCCCAAGCCGGGCGCGCTCCGCCGCCCCATCTCCTTCGAGGACTCCCCCGACTGGGACGACATCCACCCCGACGACACCATCCACCTCGCCACCGCCGCCTCCGCCTCCATATCCATCGCCAGCAGCGCCTACCCTTCCCCCTCGCCCTCCCTGCCTCCGGGGCTCCCCTCCGCCTCTGCTGCATGCCGCGACCGGAAGCTGGCCGGGGCTACCCTCGTCTGGAAGGACCTCACCGTCTCCTCACTCGCCGCAACCACAAACCGCTTCTCCGACCGACTCGTCAAGAGCTCCAACGGCTACGCGCTGCCGGCCACGCTCACCGTCATTATGGGCCCCGCGCGCTCCGGCAAATCCACACTGCTCCGTGCAATTGCAGGTTTAGTTTTCTGTTTCTATTTCTCCCATAAATCTATTCTATTCGATTTTATATGAGTTTAGTATCCAAAGAATGATGCTTTCATTTCCATTCATGCTGCTGATTTGGACTGCAATTCCAAATGACATTCTTTCCGGCCACTGACGTTTAACTGTCATATTTGCCTTTCCTCACTCCATCAGGGAGGCTCAGTGCTACCGAGAGGATATACGGCGAAGTCTTTGTCAACGGCGCCAAGTCTCCCTTACCATACGGATCATATGTAAGCACCTTCTTCGTAATTTTGCATCTGAAATGGTACTAGTAGTACTTTCAAAAGCTTTCATCAGTGTCAGTGGGTACATCCACGGTTCCCACTACACTATTCACATCCAGGGAAAACGCAAGTTACAACTTTTCTCAACTTCCAACAACTAGTACACTGATTAGGCTTATATCAAGCAAAGCAAGCACATTTTGCATAGCTCAATCACAATGTTCTTTCATCCATACTAGTACCAGTCATTCTATAAGCTTGTATGCTTACATTTGTTGATGATACAGTAATGGGGTTATTTACCACTGTTCTTGGGGCACTTTCAGGGTTATGTTGACCGAGACGATGTGCTTGTTGAATCCCTCACAGTACGTGAGATGCTATACTTCTCGGCACTCCTGCAGCTTCCTGGTTTCTTATCTTCGAAAAAGTCAATCGTGGAGGATGCTATTGCAGCCATGTCATTAGGTGACCATGCTGACAAACTCATTGGTGGAAACTGTTTTATGAAAAGGCTGCCTACCGGAGAAAGAAGGCGGGTCAGCATCGCGAGAGAGCTTGTGATGAGACCACATGTTTTATTCATTGATGAACCACTCTATAATCTTGACAGGTATCTTTCATTTCCAGTCTGATGCATATTTGCCTTTTTTCTGTCTTGTATTTGAAAAGCAACATACAAATGATATCCCTATCCTATAGGATCCGGACACAAGTCCTGAACAGACACAACTAACACACGATACCCCCACATTTGATGTATCACAAACTCTTTGGCATGCTTACTTGGAAGAGCAGTATTATCTATGCCGTTTCTGTAGCTGCTACCTCTGTACATGGGGGTATGGCTGTACATTAAAGTGCAGATCTGTTTAGGTAACTTCTTTTTATTTGTCTTGTTTCAGTGTTTCTGCACTGCTCTTAATGGTAACATTGAAGAAACTCGCAAGCACAGGATGCACCATCATATTCACAATGTATCAGAGCAGCACAGAGGTTTTTGGACTCTTTGATCGTATTTGCTTGCTTTCAAATGGGAACACGCTCTTTTTTGGAGAAACATTGGCTTGCCTACAGGTGAATGAGTTGTTTTTACATGGTGTCAATTCCTATCTCTGCTCACGTAATTTTAACTGATTATCAATTTACCTCTTGAATGCAATTATTGCGTCTTAGTGCGCCTAGAATTGCTGAGTTCTGTAGTGTCTAGGACTCTAATGTAGCCGAATCAGACAGCCATGCCAACATACAACCAACACTGCTTGAAACAAATAACCCTGTGTAAAGTAGCAGTTACAGAATAGCTTCCTTAAAAAGTGGCAAACCCATGAGATAGCAGTTTAGTAGTCCTATTGTTGCTCTTCTAGTTCCTACTGTATAGCACTCTGTTTCCGATCAGTACGTGTTCCTCTCATCTTTGCAAATCTTTTTAGTCTGGATTCTCCTTATTTTTTCCATCCTACTGTAGCATTTCTCAAATGCTGGGTTTCCATGTCCAATCATGCAAAGTCCATCGGACCACTTCTTGCGGGCAATCAATACTGACTTCGACAGAATTATAGCCATGTGCAAGAATTTGCAGGTATCTGTTAAAATTCATTTTGAATCCATCTTTTGTATCTTAATTAGTTTCAGTCAATTTGATGGAAGTCTGCCTTGGTCGTAAGAGATAAAAACCTTTTTAGTTATAAGCAGGATGATCAAGGGGATTTTTCGTCAGTGAGCATGGATACAGCAGTGGCAATTCGTACACTGGAAGCAACGTACAAACAATCAGCTGACTCTGTTGCAGTTGAATCAATGATTGCAAAGTTGACAGAGAAGGTAGCGTTCCACGCGTGTATATGATATATGATTTATCGATTTCATGCATGCATGCACACTCGTAAAATATCTTACAGAGTCGGACTGTCGGAGTTAGAGTCACCCCATGTTGGAATGCTAAACTTTAGCAATGAGAATGCCTTTATCCTTACTCATCTGAAGTTCCTTCCTTTTGGGTAGTTTTTAATCAAATGACTAGCATGACGATTCTTGAAATATATTTGTGTGTCCCTTTGGAATGATCTACACCATGGTAGGCTGTTCCAAGATCTTGCTTCAAATCCAGATAGGGACAGCGACTGCGTCATTTGGTGTGGCCTAGTGTAATCCCAACCATGCATCTAATTATGCTCGATGCAGAATAATTGAATAAACAGCATTCGCTAATGCATTGACACATCTTGTTGTCTTCTCTACGTGATGTGATGCAGGAAGGCCCTTGCTTAAAAGGTAAGGGCAGGGCCAGTGATGCAGCAAGAATTGTGGTTCTGACCTGGAGATCATTGCTAATTATGTCAAGAGATTGGAAGTACTTCTGGATCAGACTTGCCTTGTATATGCTTATTGCTTTGTCAATCGGCACGATATTTACCAATATTGGTCATTCATTATCATCTGTAATGGTCAGTGTCATTACATTGTTATGTTTTGATTCATTGAATTGAATTTATCATTTTGCGATGTAGCTCATTTTGTTTTCACAGGTGAGGATTTCTGCGATATTTGCGTTTGTATCGTTTATCATCCTTCTAAGTGCTTCTGTAGTACCTGCTCATATTGATGAGGTCAAGGTAAATACTCTACATTTAAGTGGTGCATGCAGTGTTAGGTATGGCGGCATTTTGCAATGCCCTGGTTGTTGCACAAACATAATTTGACTTTCTGGATTTCTTGCTGGAGGCTGTCTTCTTATTAGTAGGTTCATGAAGTTAAGAGATCATCTGCCCTTAGCACCTCCAGTTAAATCCTAGTAGAATGGAAATATCCTGCAAGTAGCTAAAAGTCTCGTGAAATCAAAATTGCTGTCTTTACTAGGATTCTTATTTTTTTGTTTTCTCCTATGTAGATTTATTCCCACGAAGAAGCTAATCGGCATTCAGGGACAATGGTCTTCCTGTTAGGGAACTTCCTATCAAGCATTCCTTTCCTATTCCTGGTCTCCATTTTGTCGTCTCTGGTTTTCTACTTCCTGATAGGGCTCAGGAATGAGTTCAGCTTCCTGATGTACTTTGTCATCACCATCTTTGTATGCCTGTTGGCAAATGAAGCGCTTATGATGATTATTGCGTACATCTGGCTCGAAACGTACAAGTGCACCTTAACTCTCATTTTCTTATACGTAAGTTTTCTTTCCCTTTGTTTCTTCCGGCGTGCATAAATTGAGTCAGTTGACTTTGAATAAGCATAGTTCTGCTACGATTTCAGGCTATCATGATGCTTGTGGCTGGGTATTTCCGAATACGAGAAAACTTGCCTTATCCTGTATGGACTTACCCGTTGTCCTTCATTTCGTTCCACACATATGCAGTCCAGGTAAGCTAAATTAGTACTATACTTATTACTAGGTATTATTATGTAAGTCGTGGTTATATTTTTCATGTGGAACAAAAGTAGTTACGTATGGCGTGGTTTATAACTTGCCAGGGCTTGGTCGAAAACGAGTATGTGGGCACATCCTTTGCTGTTGGACAGATAAGGACCATACCTGGTGTCCAAGCTGTTCGAGGCTCATATGACATTTCATCTTCCGGAAACGCAAAGTGGGTGAACCTCCTGGTTTTGCTACTGATGGCAATCGGATACCGGATTGTTCTCTACTTGTTGCTTCGACTAGATGTAAGGAAGCATGCGAGGATGCTTGGCAACTGGAGGTCATGGTGGCCAAGTGTCCATTCTGCTACTGGTGCTAAGTGATTGAGCTTTTTTTTTATGGAGTGTCGTAGGTGTTTAGTGAGTTCTTCTGATTTGTATGTCTGTCTGTCCATAAGCATGTATACGCGTATTGGTTGGCCGCAAACACAAAGGCGGGCATAGGTGCAGTAGCTAGTGTATGTAGGTATCATGAGGGGTGTGGTTTTCTACTCTTTCTTTTATGAACAAAACAATATCATTGTTTGACAGTGGATGGAATACATCTATGTTTAGGGGTGGTGGTGGGTCTTGATTCTGAATATGTTTTGCTGCATTTCTTTTGTGATAAAGTTCTGCTGCAGTATGTGCCAATGAACTGTGTAGATACTTGAACCTGAGCAACTCCACTTCTTGTCTCTACTTCACATGAGGGAGCATGCATTGGGGTTCTCATCGCTGAACGGCTGCGGCCCCTGCAGCAACTCGACGCGGTACGACGACCCTACTGATCCTCCTCTTCCGTACGACGCCGGGAATATCGTCATCGGGTACTGCTGCTCCTCCGACATCCAAGAAGCCATCTCGTCGTCGTGGTCATCGCCGGGTACAGCTGCGGCCTCTCCTCGCTGCTGTTTCTTCCAGTTCTGGTTCTTCTTCTTGGCGCCACCAGCAGTACTGCTGGGCTCACCCTGCTCCGTGTTGCCATCATGGTTATCGCCGCCACCATCAGTAGCAGCGGCGGCCTTGACCTTCTTCTTGTTGGTCATGGGCGGGACCACCACGGTGGTGACCCGCCGCTTGAGCTTGGCGCTGAGGACGTCGGGGAGGGCCTTGGCGTCCATGGTGCCCTTCACGGTCACCTGCTCCCTGCCCGTGTCGACGGTCACCTGCTTCACCCCTTCGATCTTGTTGGCTTTGCGTTTGATCCGGTCAGTGCAGCCTTTGCAGTGAAGCTGGATGTTGAGCACCACCGTCGATTCCGGCGGCGGCATCTGCATGCATCCATCCGTCAGACGGTCAGAGTCAGAGTCGGTAAATTAGTTGCGTAAAGTAATCACATCCACATCGATCGCACGCAGTTTTCTTGGACGAAATTAATCGAAGACATGCCATGCACCTGTTTGTTACCGTCCTTGTCATGGCGGCCTTTGCCCTTGCTGTCCTTTGCGGCGGCGCCGTCGTCCTTGTTCTTGTTGATACTCCGCCGCCCCTGCTGCTGCTCCTGCTGCTTGGGCTTGGGCGGAGGTCGAGGGGGATTGGCCGGGGAGACGAAAGCGATATCGATGGCGGGCTTGTGCCGCGCCATCCTGGCCTGGATGCGGTCCCTAAGGTCCCAGGGGTCGGCCTTGCCGGCCACCGTCACTGTACCCGCCGCCACGTCCGTCCTCACGCTCTCCGCGCCCTGCGCGCCCTTGATGGCTTTCCTCACCTTGAGCGCGCACCCGTCGCAGTGCAGCTCCATCCTCAGCACCACTGCCGCTGCTGCTTCATCACCGTCGCCCTTCTTCTTCGCCGTCTTGGTTGTCGCCTCTGTCCGCCTCTCGTCTTCTGCACCGCCGCCTTTCTTCGTCTTCATTCTCTTTCTTCCTAGCTAGCACTTTTCCGGCCAGAGCAACAAAAATAATTAATAAATTAGTTAACAGCAGGAACTAAACTAATTAATCGAATAGTATGTACGTACACAAGATGAGAACCAATATAATCAATGCAATAATCGATGTACGTGCGGTGTATATATAGGATTATTGATTGATGAGCGAGCGAATGCATGCATGCCATTGCCAGATATCGGAGGATCGTATCGACAGACAGGTGGATCGATCGGGCAGACTTAACTACTCACACTAGCTAGTCATGTTTACGCGTCTGCTGGGACGTTTTCGGAGGCAGGCAGGAGGGAGGGAGAGGGGCTAGCCAGGGAGTGAGCGATCATCGAGGAGGAAGACGAGGAAGGAAGAAGCTATAGGGGCCGTTCAACTTGGACCAATTACTGCCTGCCTCTGCATGGTTTTGAGGATGAACGAACGAGACTACGGGACGATCCTGTTTTCTCGGGGTGTTTGGTTTTACCTCGGGGGCTCCGGGAGGGAAGGAGAGAGGAAAAAGAATTCCGTGAACAGTGCTTCGTAGTATTTGAACAGTAGCTATGTCAGATTGTGGCGGTATTAACCCCTATACCCTTATGGCTAAGCTTGGGCCGGCCCGGATCGATGGGTTCGGTCCACCAAAAGACGACGTGCGGCCCGGTTAACCTGATCGGAGTCCCGCGTAAGGAGTCAAGGCGGATTTGACGATCAATCAAGATCCTGGTCGGTTAGAATAGGAATCCTTATCCGGCCATATATGACAATTGTAACTGGTTATGATTAGTTTCAGAGATCTGTAACCCTGCCTCCCGAACTATATAAGGCGGGCGGGGGACCCTCTAAAAACATCTCTCATTGACATACAAAGCAATACAAATCGACGCAGCGGGACGTAGGTATTACGCCTTCTTGGCGGCCGAACTGGATAAAACCTTGTATGCATCTTGCGTCACCGTCTTGTTTGTGGCTTATGATCGTGCGCCGACAATCTACTACCTTGGGTATACCCCTAGGTAGACTGCCGACCATATTTCGTCGACAGTGGCGCGCCAGGTAGGGGGTGTGCATACTGCTTCCCAAGCAAACAAGACGGTCATCATCTCCGGCTCCATGGCTACGCCGAACGGCCTCACGTTCACCGTTGGCCAGATCACCTGGACCACCGGCTCCGACGACTTCATCGCCATGACCCCGGAGGAGGCGTGGATTCAGTCTGCGTCGACCACTGCTTCACCTACATCGGCTACGGCTCCGACCACGGTGGACACGGCTCCGACCACGGTGGACACGGCTCCGACCACGATGGATCTAGCTCCAACCACGGTACATCTGGCTCCGACCACGCCTGCATCACCTTCAGCCACGCCGACAACTTGTCATCCGCTTCCCCGCTACAAAGGGAGGCGGATCGACAACACCGACCTGCTCGACTCCATCGATCGGGTCGGCACCAAGCTCACTGAAACCCTGGCTCTGGTAAGTACGATTCAAAGTCAGCCTAATGAGCAGGTAACCGCTCCCCACAACAGATCTACCCGACCAGCTCGGACCAGTCGTCCTGCACGACTTGGTACAGATCTCATGGTCACATCTACTCCTCAAGGGCGCTCTGCTCGTCGCCGGCCAGCCTTCGCGACGGGTCTCCGGCTCTCCGAGTACGAAGCCTCGACGGAGAACTACTAGGTCTAGCCCTATGGCTCGCAAACGCCGCCTCCATTTACGCCACGACCTGCAACGCCGCTTGGATCTGTGTCTTATGCACCGACCTCAGCCGAAGCCGCGCAACTTCATCAACATGATTCGGATTGAAGATTATCAAGAAGGATCCGTTCACACGGCCCAAGAGGGCGACCCGGCTCCTCGTCGGCACCGCATCTAATGCATCATCACACCGAAGCTTCAAACATCACGAAGATGAAGGCGTCAAGCACGATCTGGATATCCAGACCACGCCCGGGGTTCTCACAATTCCGTCTTTCCCGCCAAGACGAGGGATCGATCCATGTTATCGGCAATGACGAACGCGCCGCCAGATTGGCGTAAAGCAGAACAAGAAAGGATCAGACGCGAAGCACGCAATATTGACCGGTTTAATCGCCGACAAATCGAAGCGAAGTAGACCGGGAGGCACGACGATAAGGGTCCAAACCACGTGACCTCAACGATGCTTTCGACGTGGTGGGGACAAACATGTCTTCGAGAACTCCAAGTGCCAATGTAGCCGCCGCCATGGCAACAATGAACGGCTACCCAACACCCCGAAACCCAAGCGATTCGTGATGAAATACAAGCCTATCGACGGCCGCTATGGCCTGCACCACGGAGATTGTAAACCAAGCTCGGGCTCCATCCATCTCGGTCGAGTCAAGCCCACGTACCGCCAAACACCAAGTCGCTCACAAACCGCCCAACCAACGTGGGTTTCGCGCAACAACGACCCATCGGACAACCGTCAAGGAGGAAAGCGGTGGCCATGATGGTGGCTGTGGGCGACAACCGTTGTCGGGACAACGCGACAATCGCCGCGATAACCACGGTCGCGAGGCTAATCTAGATGGCAATCGAGATCGCCCGCGATGGCAATAACGATCTCCGCCATTACCTCGGTGGACGCGATCTGCGCTTCGCATCAACCGTAGAGAGCCGACGATCGGCGCCCCACGAAAGTTATCGCCGTATGGAATATGACCGCGCTTACGGCCCGCCGGGTTTGAAGCAGTTTACTCCACACCTTCGCCAAGTCATATGGCCCAAGAATTTCAAGCTCGAGAAGCTTCAGAAGTACGACGGCAAGGAAAACCCCGAATTATGGGTCATGCTTTACGAGACTGTGTGCAGATCAGCCATGGCGGACGAGCACGTCATGTCTAACTATTTCCCAGTCGCTGTTGGCCATGCGGGTCACCAATGGCTGGTCAGCTTGCCGGCGAACTATTTCGACTCTTGGCAGGAGCTCAAGCAAGCCTTCATCGACAACTTCATTGCTACTTGTGAACAACCAGGCAACAAATATGATCTACAACGTATTCGAGATCGAAAAGATGAGCCGTTGCGCGAGTACGTCCGGCGTTTCTCGGAGATGCGCATCAAGGTCCCATCAATCTCCGACAACGAGGCAATCGAGGCTTTCATCACTGGCCTCCGCTTCCACGATGCCCTAAGGGACAAGCTCCTCCGCAAAAGACCTGATTCGGTCACAGCGCTCCTACCCACCGCTAAGAAATACGCGGACGCCGACGACGCTAAAAAGATAATTATTGAAGAAGCAGCAAGGGTTCCGTGCTCCGACCACCCCCCACACCGCGACGACTACCGCGGCAACCGTGGTCAGAGCGACAATTTTGACCGCCGCAACCAGCGCAATGACTCCCGCGACCACCATGACCAACGTAATCAGCGGCGTAACCGCCGTGACGATTACAGGAGCAAGCGTGCTCGGGAAGACGACGACGAGGTCAACACCGTTAAAAAGGGTGGCGGACGTCGTAACTATGAAGACGACTACGCCAAGGCATTAAAGGGGCCCTGCCAGCTCCATCCTAAGTCGAACCATATCATGGAGAATTGTCGCATCCTCAAGTCTATCTACACGCGTCAACAAGCCCTGGATACGTCCGACAAGCCTAACGACGTAGGGGAACAGCGCAACGAGGATAACGACGACGACGATGCAGACCCCCGTCACAAGTACGTCAAGCCAACCGATCACGTGCACACCATCATCGGAGGCAAAGTGTCCATCGAGACCAAACGAGAACGCAAGCTGCTCACCCGCGCTTGCTTGAACGTGGCCAACACCGACAATCTCCTCACCGATCCGCGGCTCCCTCCATGGTCTCACCGCGAAATCTCCTTCAGTAGAAAGGACCAATGGGCCGCAATACCTGAGCCAGGGTGTTTTCCCCTGGTCCTCGATCCTTGTATCAACAAAGTTCAGTTCGACAGAGTACTGATCGACGGCGGCAGCTCCATTGATATACTGTTCAAGAATAGTCTGCCCGCCCTGAAGATAGCTCAGGCGGACCTCAAGCCATACGAGGCATAGTTCTAGGGTGTTCTCCCCAGACAGAGCTCTACACCTCTCGGGCGAGATCACGCTACCAAAGGCGGTTTGGGACACCTGGATCACTTCCGACCGACCGACCACGTCAACCGTGGTCGCCGACTCGACGACGGCACCTACCATGCTATTCTTGGTAGACCGTCGCTCACCAAGTTCATGGCCATACCTCATTACGGTGTCTCGGTGCTCAAGATGCCTACCGAGAAAGGAGTTCTAACCCTCCGAGGCAACGCGGTACGCAACTTATACCGTGAAGATGACGGTTTCAAAATAGCGAGGCTCACGACCTCTCTATTCGCATGGCCGAGACCGTGCTCAACGCCAAGAAGACCTCGATCGACCACCGGGAGATCCGGGAGCTCGAGGCTCCATGCAAGAACATCAAGTCCAAGGAGCACAAGGTGATCCGGTTGGGTCGACAGTGATCCCGGCAAGAAGACGGCCCTTATCGGGGCCAACCGGATCCCAAATAGGAAGACGCGCGTCGTCGGGTTCTTGAGGAGCAACGTGGATGTGTTCGCATGGAAACCTGGCGACATGCCGGTGTACCTCGGAACTTGATTGAGCACTCCTTGAATATCAAGCAGCAAGGCCAAACCTACCAAGCGAAGCTACGACGGTTCGCTCACGACGAAAAAAGGAGGCGATTAGAGTAGAAGTTACACGGCTTTTGGCAACCGGATTTATCAAAGAAGTGGATCATCCGGAGTGGTTAGCCAACCCGGTTCTTGTACGCAAAAAGAATAATGAATGGAGAATGTGCGTTGATTACATCGATCTCAACAAACACCGCCCTAAAGACCCTTGACTTGCCTCGCATAGGCGAGGTCGGAGATTCAACCGCCGGTTGCGAGCTCCTTTCTTTTCTCGATTGCTACTCTGGTTATCACCAGATCGCTCTCAAAAAGGATGACCAGATCAAGACAT